TCAATAATGTAATCACATTTAACTACCAAAGTAGACCTATCTGTACTATTTTTTGAACAATTATAGTCTTAATGTTTTTCAGATGTAGGGAGGTTTGCTACTGTGGATTTGTGGGCTCCTTGTGGGCTTGACAGACCTTTCTCGTTGCAAATCAAATATTAGATTTCTAAGTATTTATTAATGTGTTGTTTCATATATAATTACATAGATCTTAGCAGGTGTCAATTATAGAGAGTCATCGGTTATTCTTATTGTCATAGGTATTCTGTAGTTCAGCTTTTTCGCAGATTTCTTATAGAATGCAAAGGCAGTTACATAATCATAAGAAGCTGGAGAGTCTCAGCTGAATTGACGAATAAGAAGTGGCAAAAATAGTATGGTTCTTGAGAGCAGTGTATCAGATTAAAATTCATACTGAAAAGGGAGGTAACATGGCAAATTACTGATTACTGCTTATTTGCTGTAACTGTGAATTTATATCAGAATAATAAAACTGTTGTGATCCATCTGCCTCAGTGGCTGAAAGATTCAAGATAGTTCACAGACTGTCTCTTTCCAGGGTAATAATGGACTTGCTGACATTTGATGGCACTTTTGAAGCTTATTTATTCTTACTACTAGACCTTGTGTTCTGCATTGGGGTTATCTCTTTCATAAATATTTTCATTTATTATTTAGATTTTTCCACCTGAATATATTTAAGATGAGTAGGGATTTTTAAGATTCCACTTATAATTGTTTAAGTGATTGGTGAAATTTTAACTTCTCCATAGCTGGTGCATAAATTTGTCAGATGAGTGTTTCCACAAACTGTCTTTCTTTCAAAATGCTGTAGAGATTGTTGCTTTGTAGCAATTAAAAGTACAGTGTGTAATGATTGTATGAGTTTTCTTTTTTTTTGTTATGAAGTAATGTATCCTTATTTTAACTTTCAGGAAGCACAGGCTTATGCAGATGACAACAGCCTATTGTTCATGGAGACATCTGCTAAAACATCTATGAACGTAAATGAAATATTCATGGCAATTGGTGAGTTTATGAACAAAATGAGAACTTTAAAGGGAGTGGTTTTCATGAGACTCAGGCCATGTCAATCTTCCTAACCTAATGTAAATTATTTTTGGTATTGAAGTCTTCTTACTCCCTTTCATTTGTTCAATTTTATTTAGGCAGCTATCGTAAATCCAAAAGCAGTGCCAAAGATGGTAATGTGTGCTTAAATTCTGTGTCCAAGTTATAAGTAAAGGACCCTGCATGTGAAAAGTAAATCTACTCACATATTTTTAACTTAACATAATCTTAGGGATTTCTGTAAAGATGCTAGCATGTAGTAGTAAGTATAAACCAAGAACTTTTGTGTTCCATTGATACTGAAAATTGTATTTAATTGTTAATAAATTTCTGAAAGCAGAGGAAAAAGAATTCATTTTTAGGCTGGCCACTAATCTATTTAGTAGTAATCTTAATTATAGTAGATGCTTTGCTAATGGGTAGTAGCAATGTATACCATCAAATAACCTCTCTCAATCTGTTTTGTCTGTTGCACCTCTCTAATCTGCTTTTTGTGAAAAAACATCATTGATGTTAAAATTAAATGTTTCTAAAGAGGTCTTAAATCTTCTGCTTTCCAAGCCAAGAGAGCAGGAGGTAGTTTGTGGTGTCTTTCAAACTTCCAGGAGATGCAAATTAAATTATCAGCATAGCAACTTTTTATAACAAATACTTGCTTCGTATTAGCTGTAAATAATTGAAAAAGGGAGATATACACAGATACTTAACTTTCTGACAGGAAAGCATATTTTTCTCATAAATGTTCAAGATAGACCTGCATTTAATGATACAGAAATGCACAACTGTACTATTCTGGTGGAATTTCAAAATTATGTTTAATGGTGCAGGTTACTTCCTGTTTAAAAAAGTCCCCAAAATCCTTTTTTTTAAATTTGATATATCAACAATAACTCTTGCCTCCATATTTTAATGAAGCCTACAAAGTAAATTTGAGGGGAAAAAATGCTCAATTAGTAACTGTGTGTTTTGTCTGCAATGTTTTTTGGCCATGTAAGAATTTTACATCAGTGGGGTGAAATTCAGCTTTGTCAGTGCATCAGAACAAGATCTGTGCAGCAATAGACTCTGAATGGAAATTCTGATGCAGTTATAAGTATTGCATGTGATTTGGAATGACCTGCAAAATATGGATGCAATCCTCAGGACCATGTGTAAATATGATGTTAAAGCTGAGAGAAAATGAAAAATTAGAATGTTGAAAAAGTTGCTGGATGCCAGCTGAAGCTGCTTGTAAATTGACTGCTTCAGCACTCATTCAGAATTTCCAGTTAAAAAATCCCAGTGTTAATTCAGTTCTAGAGACAGTTGTAGAATCCAAAATGTTGCTCTGAAGACATTTTTCTGTTGATGCATTGACCCTTTGTACTGGCTCAGCAGCTTAGTACCATGTGGATTCTTGGGTTTTACCACAGAACTGTAGAACAGCCCACGCTGGAGGGGACCTCAGAGGATCCCTGTGGCTGGCCCACCCTTTTGCCCAGCACCCTGAGCTTACCTGGCACCACAACATGTTGATGCCTGCTCTGCGTTTTTTTTGGCTGGGTTTCATTCATTTTAGAAAAAGTTCTTTTAAAAACTGATAGAAGTAATTTGTTTGGAGTGAAACCATTCAGCCAAACTATAGAACAAGGTGGTTGCTGGGCCCTGCTAAGATAGGCCCATGGAAGTCCTTTTGTGTAGAACTTAGCAGTTTTCTGATGGAGAGAAATCTAGGAGAAGCTGCTGCTTGGAAGGGGACAGCTTTTACCCTTACGTTTTGTGTTAAGACTGAGGAGGAACCTTGGAGCTACAAGGGCAACAAAGAAATTACCAGTCAATTGACTGATAAGAACTAGAGAGAAGAGACAGCTTGGCAAAAAACCAGGAGTGGCTTGATCTGCTGTTGAGGGCCATTTTATATGTTGTCTGCAAACACTTACTCTGGCTGGATATCTGAGAACTGTTTGACCCATTTCTGTGTTTTGTGCCTTTTCAATGTTTGTGTATCTTTTTTGCACTAACATCGTGATCTCAAAGCCTGTTCTGTGTGGGTGGATTCCCACAAGAGCTGTCATTTACTGGCATAGCACACCTGTGCAGATCCGTTTTACTGCTCAAATTACCAATGCATTTCACTCCTGGAAATCATAAAGTAGCTAATCATTAAGAAGTGTCTTCACTTCTTTCATTACCAATGCACCGAATCAAATCAGATTATACAGTGAGTACACTGATATGCCTATAATGTGTTGTTCTGTTTACTCAGGTGATTTAATCTTAGTAAAATCTCAGGTTTAACTCTTACTTCCTGTTCACCTTACAGCAAAAAAATTGCCCAAGAATGAACCACAGAATGCAGGAGCCAGCTCTGCTAGAGGAAGAGGAGTAGACCTTACTGAACCCACACAACCACCCAAGAGTCAATGTTGTAGTAACTAAAAGATCAATTGCTTTAAACTGTTCTGAATATTCTTCTGCTTCCTAACTGTTAATAACCATGGAATTGGAGTGCTTAACCTGGTCCAGTACAGCTTCCAAACAGCGAAGAGACTTACAATAATAGTCAAGTTCATGATACAGAGTTTTCTTTTCACCTAAAATTTTAACATGCATGTATCCACCACTGGCTGTAATGTTTCAGCAGTAGAGGAGAGATGGAGGCGGAATAAACTTCCTTCAGTTGAAAGGTTTTAAATATCAGTTGTTATTATTAGGGGTGTAGAAGAACTACTTTCTGTGGACCTAATTGGCCAGTTCCTGTAGCCTCAATATGATCACTGTTATCATAAATAGAATTGGGTCTTTTCATAATTCTCAATTGTGCTTTAAAACCTCCTTAGAAACAGGGTCTAAAAATTACTTAAACTTATTTGCAGTATTGATGCAACCAGTTGTTTCTGCAGGTATCCACTGTTTAGTTATACATTCCATAGGTTAATAATTTTATTACAAATAGTACTTGCATTAACAATTTTAAGAATCCTATGCTTGCCAGAAAGTGGAGTTTTAGTTGGTACACTGTATGTAAATTATATCAACCCAGTTAGTTATCTTAATGAATTAGTGATGAATCAAGTCTAACTTCATTTCTAATCTGTTCAGAGGGTACAGACCAGTAAATTCAACTCTACAACTTAGGATTATGGGGTTTTTTGTCCTCTACAAACTGTAAGAGCTCTTCAAGTAAAACCACAACAAACTCGGTGTCTGTGACTTCTTTTCTTGTTTCTGATCATTGCTGGCCATTACAGTTTGTTTTTCCCCTAAGGAAAAAAAATAGTGCACTAATGATTATGTACATCCAACTTGATTTTAAATTTGGATATTAATGTACTGTAAATAGGTACTCTGCATTGTAGTCTACATTTGTTTAATACTTTCTGTAATATTTAAGAGTTGCTTAAAGGTATACAGAATGTACAGTTACTTAAAGCTAACTTTTTTCCTCTCTAATCAAAGGGGGTTCTGAGTTCTTCCTTTATGGCTAGAACAGTAATAAATGATGCTCCTGTATCTGTAACATAAGTACTGCTGTCTGTCAGTAATGAACTTCGCAACTTTGTTTTCCAAAGTACATTTTATTTTGATCAGTCCAGTATATTGCACTAATTCTTTTAGTTATTTTCATTATATGAAATCTACAAAGTGTGTCAGAAGAGATGAATTAGTCTATTTAAATGTTGAACTGATAGAAACTTACCTGTGCAGATTTTAAATTTGCAGTAATCTGGGTTTAGCAAGAAAAATGACAGTTCACCAGTGTTTAGTTTTATATTGAGGTGCTCAGGTTTGAATAAAGTGGTTTAAAAAAAATTTGATTACTGGTTCTTATTGAGAGTTTCAGGAGGTTTTACCGCATTTGTACAGTTCCAGACAAGATGTCTGTTTCACTGTATGGGTCAGCATTTAAGATGCTTACAATAAATTCATGGCATAGCTAAATATAAGCTTGTCCTATATATATTGTGGCACTCCAGTTATCCTGTGATAAATCTTTAAATGTTGAGGTAATTGGGTATCTTATCACATCCATTTAGAAGTATGATCAAAATAGTAATATTGTCTCTTGAACCTGCAGCTAATGCAGTCTTTGCCAGTTGTTCACAAGGTGACTTGTTGCATTGCAGTGTCTCTGAGCTGACTGTGTCTCTTCTGCAGCTTGTGATTTCCAATTGATTTGGTACATTTTTGTATCTTTTTCAAACCGTGGTGGTGGTTTGGAACCAAGTGGTGATACAGTCTTTAGCAGTTCTTGACCAACATCACCTGCAGATTGTCACAAAATGAATTGGAGTCCATTTTTTCTGTCAGCTGTGTTTTTGAGTCAGAATTAGATGGCATGGTTTTGTCTATTTTGGGGTCATTTTCGTGGCCTTAGACCTTGATGCCAGCACATTCTCTTGCAGCTGTTTATAGCTGTGACTTGGACCTGTTGCATAGAAAGTGTTGGTTTCTTCTTGCTCTGAAGTCTCACTGTGGATGAAAACTTAGATAAAATTTTCTGTCTTCAAACTGAGTTCTTCAGAGTCACCTTGTGTGCTAGAGTTGGAGTAGTGTATCTCTATTCTTTGAATTTACTCCATCGTTACTGAAAAGAGACAGTTCTGGATTAGTTTGATTTTTTGGTCATTGGTTTCCTTATTAGGAATTCCATTTTTACTATGTCTATAATTCTTCCTAGAACATTTTCACTGATTTTGTTTCAGATTGCCTTTTGAGTCACTCTGAAAAATACCTTTACTGGAATAGAATAGTTGTATTCTATCTTGCAGATGATTAATAGTGTTTGAGTCAGTTAAGTTGTCTCCAGTGAGGGATACTGACACACAAAGTCCTGTTTTGTTGAACAGCATTCATGCATTCTCAAATAATGAGTGAATGTTAAAGAGCTGCTGCAAGTACTTCAGGTAATCCAAAACCCCTCAAAGCCCATTAGAAGCCAAAATAAGAAACTGGCAAGTAGCATTGGTAGGGACAGGTATAACAGATGAGGTACAGGTATAACAGATGTTCTTTTTACTGGAGCTCTGTGACGTCCAAGAGCTCTTGTAGTTCTCAGGTATCCCTCTACAAATCTGGTGTATTAGTGCCGATGTTTCCACCATTCTGAAGTGTTTTCTCTCACATTAGAAGAGCTGTGCTCTTGAGAGCCATTACTCCATTTTTATGTAAGACTGCACATACATCATCTGAAGTTGAAACAGTATTTAGAGCATACTGGGTTTTTAAAAGATACTGCTGTTAGAGTATCAGACTTTTGTTAAGGACTGGGAAAAAACCTGAGACCATAGTTAATAATCTACTTCACAGGCAACAATATGTCCATCATTGAATCTGTTTCTGGTTTTACAGCAAAGTTTTCTGTCATTCTTAGAAGACTGTTCTGGAATCTTTATCTCTTGACTGCAAATAAACTCTTCTGGGGAGTCTTAGGTGACATTTCATTCAGCTTAAAGTGCAGTCTAATATGAAAAATATGTAGTCTTGTTTAAAAGCCAGCCAAAGTGCAACTTCTCTATTTTTCTCAAATACTTTTTCTCCTATGAGAACATGTGATTTCAAGTGTCTGAATGAACTCAGCAAGAAGTTTCAGCTCAGACTGTTTCTGGCAGCCTACAAATTCCAGTACTTGAAAATAATTTGGGCATGATGTAGAATTTACTGTTTACTTACAGGATTCCTTAAATCTCTTACTTCATTAAGGCACCCAAGGGAGCAAGAATTCTTAGTCATTGTGGGAAGTTGAGGACTAATTTCTTGGCTTTAGTAGGAAGAGGTATTTTTCTGTCCCATAACATTTCTGAAATCTGAGAATTAAAAGTGTTAGAAATTGCAACACTGCAGGGAGCTGGTCATGTCAGATTTGAACACAGAGCATAAAGGAAAGAGCTCTGAACCAAAGTGCTGTGTTGTCTGAGGTCCTCTGTGGCTGCCCTGGGAGACCATTTCCTGTGTTAGAGGAGATGTTCAGTCCCCTCCGATGTGTTGTCAAAAGCAATGCCAGGCAGAAGGAACTTGCTTGGGATGTGGTGGCTTTCTAGACATGAAGCTGGCTGCAGTGTGTTCATTTATATTGTGTTTTAATATCATCTGGCTAGACTGGGGCACAGACCTCTGAAAAGGGTGTATGAGTAGGCATTGCTTACACAGTAGTTGTGTTCCTTGGGCAGTATTGGCATCATCGAGTGTAGGAGAAGCTAAGTCTAGTCTGTGAAGGCAGATTTCTTCTGCCTTAAATCAGAAAGTGATTCAAAATACCAAACTCTGAAGGATGCATATTTTTAATTAATTATAAATTTTAGATGCCTTTAAGTTCTGCTCTGTATGTTTCCTTGTGCTTGTTTCCCCCTCCTTCCTCTGATTTCCATGGAGAGCTAGAAGAATGTGTAAAATATCCCTTGGAGCAAGACCACCAACTGTAAGCCTAACTAAGGCCATAATATAACCCATGTGGAACAATTTGAGTGCAAGAAAGAGTAAAATCTAGTCCCTTTTGGATGCAAGTCTCTCTTGTCTGCAAACCAGAGACAGGGCAAAAGAATCAACAAAACTTAGCTTATCAATATGGGGCTAAATGAAGAAGATGGCCCATGTCACCACCTCCTGCTCCTTGTATCTGACCATCCTCTTTAGTTGCTTTTCTGGAGCTGAAGAAACATGTCTGTACTTCTGTAAGAATGCACTCCTTGGGGAAAAATCAAGGTTCATGCATGCATTTTTTCCTTTGATGTGGTACATTTGGTGGTAAATTAATTGTATTATATTTAATAAATGTGTATTTAGCAGTGGTGCAGAAATGTGGACTTTAATCATAAAAGATTTAAAGTACCTCTGATGAATTTCAAAACTTGTTAGCAGAGCTTGAATTTATGGTATCCTTAATCGCATCCATCATGAAACCCTCTCTGCAAGGAATGGATGAGGCAGGTAACAAGACCCAGCAGCAATTTGGCAAAGAATTCACCCAGCCTCAGTTCTTGCCTTCATCAATCTCTTTGAAATAAAATGTGTGTCCAATGAGGTGGAAACAAATGCCTCTGAAAACATTGCAGCCTTTTTATGAATTAATGCTGTATTCCAGTAAAGGTGTGACTGCATTTCCTGAAAGAATAGCCAGCCTAGTGCTGAACTACCTGTTTTGATACTTGTAGCAGTAAAGGTCACATAACTGCAGAAAGCTTATTTGAGCTAAAGTAGAGCAAGTGTTGAAGAATGGAGGTGATGGGATACACCACAGTTACCTAGATCAGTGTCAGTGCATGATAAAGTCGGTTTACAGTGTTTCTCAGGCTGGCAGATGAGTGCAAGTTGTTGTTAAGGAAAAGTATTTTTTTAATATCTGGAATTAGTTTTTTCAAATGTAGAACATGATTTTTTTTTCCTTGACCCACAATGAAGTCTCTCAAATGGTTCTCCCTTTTTCTACTCATCTTTGACTCTCTTCATTAATTTTGGTCAAATTTCATATGGAGAAATGTGAGGAAGTCTTACAAGTTGTGTGAATGCACACATCACAGGAAGAAAGAGTGCCTCTGATGTGAGTGGCAGTGTCAGCCCACTCCTTACTAATGCCAAGGAGAGTGATAGAGAAGTGGTGTAGTGCTGGGCATGTGCTTCAAGCAGAGGCTGGAAGAGAATATAACTGCAGACACAAATCCATTTGGAACTCTTCGCCCACCAGCTTTTTTTATACCCACTCTGCTTTTTTTTTTTATCCATTCTGCTTGTGCACTCCTTCGTGGGAAAGCAAGTATCTTGCTTGTAATCTCACAGCTGTTTTATGTACAGGAGAGGTCTTAACTAGTAACAAAAATCACCAGGTGGGAAGATACTAGCTCCAGCCGGGAAGGACCTAGAGTTGCTAGTCTGCAAGAGCTTTTCTAGTGTCCCTTGTAGCAGGGGTAGGTGAAGAAACATTAGTATGTACCATTGTTTTTGATTGTAAAAAATAACTGATTCTGTACTAAAGAAAAGCAAGGTTCTACTTCATGAGGAAACAGGTCTGAATAGTTCTTCCATAAGAGTAAAATACAACAGATTCCTATTTCAGAAAGTAATCATTCAGATTATTCCCTCAAACATGTTTTCAGCTTGCTGGTAGTAAAATGTGGTGACAGTCCAATGAAACAAATGAATTAAAAGAATATCTTAAGTATCATTCATTGACACAAGGACTTTGATGCATCAAAAATCAGAAGCCTGTTCTCAAGTGATGACACTTTAAACCTCTTAATTAAAAAAAAAAAAAAATCATACTATTCCTACAGAGGTGTGTTATGGAATGTTTCCTAACTGCCGTTTACATTAGTAAATTGAATTAAATGCTTTAATTCAAATATTGTTCTCAGGCTATTTATCTAATAAGCTGAATATTATTGTCAGATAGCAGTATCAGTTGTGAGGGAATTAATCATGTCTGCTTCACATTGTCAAGCTAAAGGAATTGCTGCTTTTTATCTCCAGATACCAGCTGCCAACAAATCTCTAGATTAATTTGATTAATTTAGGCTTGCTTTTTTTTTTTTTTTTTTTTTTTTTTTTTTTTTTTTTTTTTTTTTTTACTTAGTTGGATGAAGGGAAAAAAATCCTGGTGTGGAATATACTTACCTATAATAGCAATGTGCAGTAGCCCAGCCACACCTTTGGCTGTCCTGGCTAATGGGCTGTGTGTGTTGTTTTCAGGATGTTTTCTTTCTTCTTCCCCAGTGCCATCCGTCTCTTCACTAGGAATTCTTTTTCACACTGAACAGCCACTCCAGTGAACTTTGGAAACCTCTTTCCTTCCCAGCTGTAAAAATCCGCATTCTCCAAAAGGACTTAGCATACACTTTCATAATAGACTGGTCTTGTTGGTCTCCTCATTGCCTGGTTCTTCTCTTTTTCCCTGTAATCTGCCTTGATTAGTCTGGCAAAAAATTCTAGAATTTGCTCTTTGTAATTTTTATTTTTGTGGGAGGAATCTGTGTGAGAAAGCTGTTCAAGAAATAAAAGTGGAAGCTTTGCTACAATTGTATCTGTAGCTGTCACACCGTGACAGCCATCAAGAATCTCCAGAAAGCATGTATCTGACCTACTTTCATGGTTGTCCAGCACAATAAACCTGTCTTCCATGACTCTCTGCCATGTGGAATTTTTATCTTAGCAGATCAGTCATGCTTTTATTAAAGAATTATTTGCTTTCTTAGAAGTACCAGGATTGTTGATATTGGCAAAATGGTGTGGGAGTGGGATTATCGACAAGAAATTCAAGTGAGTAATGAATCTTCTGCCTGTGTGTCTCAGAGAATTTAGCAGTGTAGAATTTAGGTACTGCAAGGACCTGACTCTAGTCAGCACCAGCTTCTCTGCCAGCCAGAGCTTGTATCTTCCCTCTTGTCCCCATGTACCTCCAATTTTTCCACTCCAGCTCCTTGCTCCAGTTTCCCCCACCAGCTCTGTCTCTCTCACCTCCCTCTGCACCCCCAGTGCTGTTCCCAGGCCTGGCACCTGGTGCTGCAAAGCCAAGAGTCAGAGCTGTAGAGCCTCCAAGCAAACTGCTTCCTGACAGAGCCCTGGGGCACAGAGGGACCTGTTCGAATGCAGTACCTGCATGCTGGCATGTCTCTGCCTGGCATGGGCAAACTGATGCTGCTTTCTAAATTTTGAAACTTGCTCTGATTTGGGCAAATTGACAAGAATGACAAAAGAAACACTGCTGATGCCATTTCAGCCAAATTGCCAAGTGGTATTTCAAAACCTGACTGTCTTGGAGCTTCTCTAGGAAAAAAAAGACTTTTGGCTTAATACATTCAAAACAACATATTTTTCAAATCCTATTCTCAGAAACAGCTAAGCCATTTTACCTAGAATTTTTTTCCAAGTGATTCTGCTTCAGGCTTGAAAAATTTCAGTATGAACTGCTGCTTGCATAACATCCTCTCCCCCTAAACCAGCACGTGACATACATGCACAGACACCATAATGCAAAATCCTAACACCATGTGAGCAGCTAAGCTTGCCAGCCTATACTTCATGTATCTACTAAGTATGAAAACATAATGTTTATATTCAAGTTGATTATAGGGGTTTTTTTAGTATCTAGCATTTATGGATGAGAAAAGTCAGACAAAAATGCATGTGCTGTTGTATTCTCTGTTATGAGATTTCTGTTTAAGTTAATCTTTGTCAACTGCTGATAATTCATCACCAGGGAAAAGGAAGGTAGTTTAGTAGCAGTAATACCCCATAGCCACATTACAAGAGCAGCCTTTGGGAATTTCATCCTACTTCAGCCTCATTCCTTTGCTGGGGCTCTGCATTCCATACAGCCACACCTGGATAAACTATTTTGCACCTGTTTTCTCTTCCAGGGTTTCAGCTAGGAAGTACATTTTTTTTTTTTGTCTCACTACTTCTTTCCATCACCTGTGTATTAGAAGTATTTCTGCAGTTTGTGTTGCAATGTGTGCCTCTTTTCTGTCATGGCAGTTAGACAAAATTTCGTTAAATTCTAAGCCCTAAACTCCTCCAACTCAAATTAATCCTAATACATCTTAATTAATCAAGTGCCTCTGATCATCTGAGGTAGATCAATTACAACATATCTTCTGTCAAGGGTGATATTAAGCAGAGCCACTTAAAAACCCCTTATGACAGTTTAGTATAGCTTATCCTTTCAGAGGTGGCTTGCAGCTGGCTACAACTCCCAGTCTGCTGTAGGACCAGTTTATAGGAAAGTCTGTCTCTACAAGAGGTGAACATCTGACTCCTCTGAAAATGCTGCACCACTTCAGCAGGGAAAGGTAAGGAGGTACATGGATAAAGCTCCTTGTGCAGATCGCTTTTCCTTTATTCTGCATAATTTGAATTTGAGACTGAGAGAATGTCACAAGACTTCAATGTTTTCTTTACAATGATGCATTCAGGACTAGAAAAATTGGGACTAGTGTATACAAAATGCCTGGTAAGCTATTTTTTGTCAGTTTTTAAAATATTAACTCATTTTAGATTTAGTGTATATAAAAGCCCCTTGGATTAGAGACAGGAAATTGAAAACTTTCAGCAAAATGTTAGTTTGATCTCTCTCAGCAAACTGAATTCATAGCACTCACATACATTTTACATGGGTTTGTATCTCCATAAGTGGCTGTAAGTGCTAACAAATCACATTTTCAAAGCACCAAAACAGTCCAAGTTAATTATAATGTGTAAATAACCAGGATAATATACATAATAATTCATGTAGCAAGATAGGCTGTAACTCTTTTAGTTGCAATAGTTTTGCTTATAATTATTAAAAGGGCAACCCTGATGTTAATTTTTTATGCTATGCATAAATTGCTTATGTTAATAGCTAAAAACCTTGTAAAAATAAAAAATTTTAAAAAAGGAACATTTGCTTTGCTGATCTCTTACGAAGTAAAAAGATCAGTCTGTATGTCCTTCTCTCCTTGCATTTCTCTCATCAGGAACAAATTCAGACTGGGAGGTTTTTTGCTGTCAGGTTAAAGGATAACAGTGAGATACTGACAGCACAATACACCAAGCTAAAGCACTGCCAGCCTCACAGTGAAAGATAAAATTCAGCTTTCTAGCTCACTGCAGTTTCCCTGTGCCTATTTAGGGAGCCAAAACCCAACACAGTTTAATGTTCTGAGATGAAAATAGAAGCAGATAAAAAGAAATTAGATGTGGAAGAATAGGGAGTGAACCACATTTTGAGATTACATGTGTTTTCAAGGGCAAAAAAATTGTATTTACTGTGTGTGTCATAACAAAGAGCCTCCTGGTCAGAGCTTAGTCTGCCATGCACTGGCCTGTCTAAAAGAGGCAGAACGAGGCAGAGCATGAGGCTCATAAGGCAGATGATACCATTGTCTCTGTAAATCTCATATTTCTGGAAAACCCTTCTAGCTATGACACTTGGAGCTGCTTGCTGTTAATAAGGTAAGGCAAGATTATTTTCTGTTTCTGAAGTTTGGCTCTACTATCATAATTTTTTAATTACCAAAGATGGAAGATATTCCTGAGCTTTGAGGATGGAGGATCTGAATTGAATTGCAACAGACAAGTCCCATGTGCAGTTATCTCCCTTTGACACATGCTATCTCCACCCAGAGAGTGCTTCTTCCTCACTTCCCTTCGACACAGTCAGAACTTAGCTTGCACAATCTCCAGGCCTGAACTCCTTCCTCTCTTAGGTTTGGGGGTTTTATTATTTGCTACATCCTTGTGGTCTTAGAAAATGGTGACTGTTACTGATGCTGAAACCAGTGCTGGAAAGATGCTTGCCTGCCTGTGGGTGACAGGAAGAGGCAGAGAAGGATTGTGGGATGTAAAATGGAGGTCATGGTCTCCCTGAGTTTCTCATCAAAATATTATCAACTAGTACTTATAAACAAATTCTTGCTGAATGAGCACCAGCTTACTTGCCTGTCTTTTCCTGCTTCCCTGATTTACTTATTGCTCATGTCTCAGGTAGTACTTCCCTCTCAGTCCTCTCCTTCCCATGTGCCTGTGACACCAGGACATTGCTTCATTGCCTCCACGCCTTCAGCAAAGTTCCAGCAGCAGCACCTCCCCTGGAAAACTGTGAATGCATCACACCCACATATAGCAACCATGACAGAGACTCTCAGCATGGCCAGGACTGTCTGTCCCCGAGCTGCAGGGTGCCTGATGCCACCAGCATCTGTCAAGGAGCCACCCTGGGTGAGGCATTGGCACTTGTCTGGTGCAGTGTGAACGTGCTGTGTAGCTCACATCCCACAGCACAGTCAGAGCCAGCCTCTGTTGGGTGGGTGCTGCCTTAGCAGGTCCCAGGTTCACGTCGTCATCTTTGACCAAAGCAGCAAAGAGCAAATATCTTATGTGGAAACCCTTACAAAGCCTTCCTTAAACTCATGTAAGACCTCTGAAAAAGTCTTCACCTGAAAAAACAAACTTGTTTGCTAACCCAGGAGCCATGCCCTATACCCTCCATAATTTTTTTATCAGGGCTGGTCCTCTCATTCTCCAAAACCATCCACAGAGCGAATGGTGCAGAAGGAGCAGGACATCTTCTCCCAAGTGAGTCAACTTACGTGTGCATGTATAGCCTACTAACTGCATCCCCAGAAGCAGTGATGCAGCTTCAAGAAAGTCTAGTTATGATAGGTGTGGGAAGAGATAAAGAAAAACTTGGTGAGTCACAGGAGAATGCCAGGGGCAGAGCCTGCATTCAGGACTCGGAATCCTGTATTCCCACCTGTAAACCTGATAATAGGTAAGAAAGAAGGAAGTGATTGATAATTAAAATAATTATGGAATAAATTAAGATAATTAGTCTCCTTATTTATCTCCTAAAGTGTTGTCCAAAACTGGAATCCCGGGATTCCAGGCCCTCTGGTTTTGTGCCACCCTATAAAATAAGAGTCCCCATCATTAGGTCTTCTTGGGCCAGAGTTCTAATTTGTGACACTGTCCCCTTGTGCAGAGGTGCAGCTCCTCAGCTGGGAGGAAGCACCAAAATGGGAAATAGGAGTAGTGAAACAACGACAAACCAGCTCTTTCTACACTCCAGATAATTTTGCAGCTCTTCCTCATAGATGGGTCAGTCTCAGTGAGGCAGAAGTAGCAATTTGCTATCCCCCAAGGGCCTGTGTGGGGCAGAGAAGCCGTGAAACATTGAGTGGGACAGTGAGCTTGCCAGCCTTGGCACAGGAGGCGAGGGATGTGAGGGGCTTGGGGACCCACAAAGAAAGCTGTGGCAGAAGGTAGAAGATGGGTGGTGATAACATAACTTTGCCTTCTGCACTCCCAGTGAAATCCTGCCTCCCTCACCCCACAAATCCCCATCTGGGGTTGGTGCTGTGCTCCTGGGGCTCCTCTGCATTTTTCAGCTGTACACAGCACTATTACAGTTGGTCCAAATGGAAGTTTTTAGCCTGTTTAGTTTCTGCTGCTTGGCCGAGTGGTAAGCAGTGGTGCCTGCCGTTGTGTCTCTAGTTCCTGGAAAATCTAGGATTTCCAGGTGGTTCCCCACACAGATATGTGGAAGACCCATGGCTGGGTTTGCACAATCAGATGTTCTTAGGTGACTGTAACTTTATCTTACAGAAATAATATCTATGTCAGTGTTGTACCAAGGGTGCTGGCTGGCACTGCACTTGTGTGCAGGATGGAGAAAGGAGGCCCCTTCTCTCCCAACCCTGCCAGCAGTGCCTGTGCCAGTCTCTCAGGGGTATTTCAGGCTTCCAGCACCAAATGACATGCCCTGCATGGCACAAGAAGTCAAAATGCACCCAGTGGTGACCCAGAGGTTTGCAGGAATCTCTGCCATGAGTTGAGGAATAGAAAGAACAGAAAAAATACATTAGAGAAAGGGATAAACAAAAGAATTGTGAGGAGTCAAAGAGAAGATAAGGGAAAAATAGATAGTACATCCCATGTTTGCTAGAAGAAATCCAGAGCTCCCACTACCACAAAATAATACAGTGTAAGCCTATGCAGTGACTGCTGATGGCTAAATAACTTCAACAAACACCTTCTGGACTTCACACACTCAGCTCAAACTGTGCAAAGGCAGGAGTGACTCCAGCCTTTGGTTTTCTCATTTGATTTGGGTTAAATCAAAAGTCTGACTGCAGTCAAGAAGAGCATCCTCTGGGAAAGAAGCATATAAAAACTGCTAAATGGTCCATCACTAACAAGAAATTTGTGTGCCTGGAGCAGCCATGTGTTTTGCAAATGACATTTTCTCCATTTATTTTTCTGCATATTTTCCTTTAGAAACTGGGGTGTGAGGTTTCCTACCAGAGCAAAAACCTGATGGGAAGGTCTGTGTTGTTAGTCACATGTAAGCACCTTGGGAAGCTGATGAGATGCTAGAGATGGTCTAGGGGGCAAAACTTTTGCACTGTTAATACTTCCAGTGATTCATAAATTATTGATAGCACTCCTGAATACCTGGTGGCCAGGAGGGAGGCCACTTCACCCACAAGGAATGCACTAATGAAAGGATGCAACAGGATTTCATACTCAGAGAAGTTCCTGGAAGAGCAAGAGCTACGCTTTTTCTATTGGAATTGAATGGCAAGAATAAAAACAGGTGGGAGTGCTGGAAGAAAATCTCACTTGAACAAAAGGAGGGAGATGAGGCTGGGTTGGGTGTGTTGGATCTGACTGGGCTGTGAGACAGGGATCAGGGTTAGGGGTAGACTCCCAGAGCTCAGCTGTGGGCTGGGTGGTCCCTGTCAGAGCAGCAGCATTCAGCATTAGGCTGCTATTACCTGAGTCATTCTTTAATTTATGGGAGCAAGATAGGCCCCAAAAGCCCTAAATGACAACTTGGTAATAACCAGGAGTCTGGCACACCCTAAACTGTATTTTGATTTCCTCTTTCGTGACTCAAGAATGCAGCTGTCTCCTTTGCCTCCTTGGAATAATATTAACACACAGGCTCTTGCATTTAAGCCTGTCAGATGAATTAATGCAGGAGCAACAAATGTGAAATGCATGTGTGATCTGCTGGGAGCATGGGCTGTGAGCAGGCACCTCCTTGGGGCTATCAGCAGCCTGAGTGAGACCTGAAACACACATGAGCTGGCACCTGTGTCTCACCTAGCTCCTGCCTTCCCTAATTTGATGCAGATGAGTAGCATTCCTGAAGTCACCTGGCTACTCATCTGAGCTTGTGAGCTGAGCAGCACAGGCAGGATCATCTGCTCCCACCCCTGCTTCCTCAACTCGGGTTTCAGAGTCAGCTCGACTTGTGCAAACCCACTGACATGCCCCAAAGGACAGAAACTGAAAAACGTGGTGAGGGTTTTTCAGACAATACTGTGAGTTTTAATCTAATTTAATATATTCATGTTTAATGATGAAAACCAAGCAACAGAGGGGTTACATGGTGCTCAGATTTATGCATGCATTATAATTAGAAAATTAGTATGTAGTGTACTTGTGAATTCAGCCAACAGAAGAAAACAGCTTGGATATATGCAACAATGACATGTATCCACATGTATGTCAAAGCATAGGGGGTTTGTTTTTTGTTTTTCTTTTTGCTCCTTAGTCTTGCTAAAATTTTAAATGGAATATTTTACTTTTTGCTAGAGCAGTTAGAGACAAAGTAAAGCTTTTTTCCTTTTTGTTTTTAACAACATATTCGCACAAAGTTAGAATTTGAGCAATGATCAGTCTTAATGTTAAAAAAAAAAAAAAAAAGAGAAAGACTTACCTATTCACAGTTAGAATGGTTTCTTTCCAAGCAGCTTCGAGCAGGCAGCAGTTCTGCAAGTGTAGTGAAATTAGTGTTTATAGATGTTACTATAGTAACTGTATCTGTAGCCACAAGCTGGTAGACTTACACTTCTGGTTATCTGGCGAGCATCAAGGTATAATGGAAAAAAAGATACATGGTACTGTAAGACAGCCATGCTCTTGAGGATTCAAGAAGGAACTGCAGTTAAATTATTTGCTTCCTGACAACTTTCATCTTTGATTTTACTTTATTGGAAGTAATAAGTTTTCAGGCTTTTAAGGTTCCTAAAGAATAAGGTTGTTCACCTAGCTGTGATGCTGTGAGCATTCACCTGTGCAGCTTCAGACATAAGCGCCCACTGAGTGGCCTCGATGCACATCGGTGGAGTTATTAATCTGTGTGAAAGCAGCAAATGTAATTTCAGTATCAGAACTGTAATTCATTACATGCAAGTGGGCAAACTTAATGCTGGGTTAAATATCATTATCTACCTAGTTAAAGGAGAACCTGGTGATTTGGGGGAAAAAAAAAAAAACCAAAAAAAACAAAAAAGGAAAAACATACAGGGGCATGTAAACGTACATCAACTCCCAGGAAAACTATGGGTCTGTGTTCAGGCGGGGATATTAAGTGGTCCATTGCAGCCAGCGTGTTGTTCCAGATGTGCTCTTTGCTTGTAACATTTGCTCTGCCGAGGAGGAGTCGTGGGAAAGCTGAAAGCGAAACTAAGCAAGAACAGTTTCATTTTCAAGTCCGAAAGCAGAAATCTAACCGGCATAAAGAAAATGCAAGCAAAGAGCTTCTTAGGGGCTGCTTAACCTACAGCGGCTATTTGCTATTTTAAAACGTGATTCGGACACTTACAACAAAAAATCAAAAATAAAAGACGAAGATAATTCTCTCGTAAATGTCAGAGAAACTGGATTTTCGTATCGCGTTTAATTTCCTATTAATCTTGACGCTGCTACCGCCAAGGGCAGCGGCTCCTCCACCTTAACCAGTCCGTCTTAAAGCGCCGGGGATGGCAGCAGCCATCTTACGGGTCGCTGTCACAGCTGCTGGCAAGCCCGAAGCCAGCCCGGCCTCTGCCGCGGATTCCCCGGGGTACCCCGGCTCCGCCCGAGCCGGGGAGCAGGTCTGACCCACAGCCCATCAACACCCTGTCGATTTTAAAACCTCAGCAAAATACAAAAGTAAATAATTAAATAGAGAAAAGCAACATATCCCCTTGTTTCATTAAATACCTCATTTTATTCCATTCTGGTTTCCTATAATTTCGTGAATATGCCAGCTCGCTGTATAACATCATGCTTGAAAATACCCCCAGGAGCTGCGAAGGGAAGAAGGACGCCACAGGGTTCTGTCACACACCCTTCCCCCCAAATATTACTCCGCACAAACCTAGAGTTATTTTTGCTTTCCCCATGCAAGGTGCCACGGCCCTGTGCCTGCAAGAGCCCTCTGTCTGCGCTGGGACTTCCCTCCAAACTCATACTGCTTCTTTGATAGTTTAGCTTCACACATCAAAGAACCGTAAATCCCACGCAAACGCCCAGCCTCAGTCCCAACCCTTTAAACCGTGCTGCCGTAGTACGGAATTGCCATTTGTGGTTTCTCACGGCTCAGCCACGGTTTTAATACGTGCAACGGGGCAGAACCGCCTCTCACCCGGTGCACTTGCTGCTGTGCATGGAGTGCGCTCTCTGGAGCAGGGCCATTTCCTTAAATTAAGTTTCAATTAAAGGGTAATCCCTAAGGTATAAACTGACCTGGTCTCAACACTTGTTTCTGGACACAACAAACAACCAAGCCCCAGAACCATGACGCGAGAAACTGAGCAGAGAGTTTTTGAATTAGCCAGTATTTGAAACTGACCCGTACTTTTACATTCAGTTAGAAATCATCTGGGGAAGAAGACTGAACCCTTCAAAGCTGCCCGCAGAGTACACAGAGTGGGAAGGCAATGGTTAAGCCAAACAAAGTAGCGGCGCTCCGAGGGGCCACAGCGGCTGCGGCAGCACCGCGGGCTCACCGGGGTTCGGGACCGTTCGACACCGCCAGCGATGCAGCCTCTTTTTAGGGCAACTTTCCGCGCAGCCTCCCGGAGGGCCGGGATGGCTCCCTAGCGGCTCCGCACGCACGGGTGCCGCCGCCGCCCTTCCCGCGGGGGCGCCGCCCGCCCGCGCAGCCCCGCGCAGGGAGGCGGGCGG